CTCCCCAAAATCGTTGACTATTCCTCCGACCGCTATGGCTAGTCCCCACTCCCCAGTTGGCCGCCTCCCATCCGGGGAACTCGTCTCCCTCGGTGTCGCGTTGTCCCTGCTGGTCGGTATGTAAACAACGCTTTGACCTGAAGCACAGTAGGGAAGGAACGTAAAATAAAACACTGAAATTATGAAAAGTTTGCTTAATAATGATCGCAATTACTCTTGATTGTAAAAGCTCGCAAATTTAAGTCAAAATAAATTATATTGCAAAAATATACTTTTGAAAATGGTATTTCACCGAATAAAAATATAAATAGGCCGGGAAAAAAAAGAATTTACCAATAATAAACACCACCCGTCAATTTAATATTAAATTGTGTTGTAAAATTAATTGTTTGTAATGATGTGAATGTGTAACATAAAATTATAACATAAAAAATAGCAGGTAGACTTCAAGAGGCAACATATAGGTTAAAAACAAGTTTCGGGAATTATGGGTCAAGTAAGCAGGTACCAAGATCTAAGAAAGGGTGAAATACACAGGATGTGACTCATATTTGGTGCAATGAAGTCCTTTTGTTAGAAGCAAGATGGAAAATTACATGGCCTTCTCGGCAAATTTAACTAAAACAAGATATGTGAAAATTACGAATCGTAATCATTTATCGCACATAGATTCTAAACTGAAAAGTTTTGATTAGCGTAATCCCGTTCCGGCAAAATAGGTAACCCGCCCGTGGTTTCGGGGTTTCGAGCCTACAGTTGAATAATCGCGGAATTAGGTGTCGTACTTCAAATGGTTACAGTTTTTACCACCCCCCTGACTGCTTCATTCACGGAGAAAAATGTTAGTAACAAACAACAAGTCCGTACACACATCAAACGAATCGGTAATTTCCACATATTAAAACAAAATGATCAAAACTTATGTGAAAGTTACTTCAGGGACAAGACCAAGTAATCAACATCAATAAACATAAATTAAGCAAACATTACATCAAAAACGTAAACAAATGACAAACAATAGCATAACGGTATTTAACATGTCATTCTGCATTGTGGTTAAATCAAGTAAATTTCAATATCAAAGATTGAAACACACAAAAAATATAAAATGCGGCATACAAAACACAAATACGATATGAAGAAATGCAAAAATTACTACCTGCATGAAATAACACAAAATAACAACAAACACTTATGGAGCGAACGTTCACGACCGCCATTCAAGACAAGATGCTAAACGTAACCCTCGGTTTGTGCTCTCCAGATGGCGCAAATCGCTTTCCTCTCCTAAAAATTGCGTGGTTGCCAACTCCCAAAAATGTGTGCATCGTCGTAAGTTGTATATACCTACAGGGTGGAACCTCTCACATTAATGAAAAATTACCGAAAAACTACTAAGCCAACTGTTTAGAAACCATGAACCATTTTTAATGCATCTCTTTTAAAGTATAAAAACTGGTGACGTGGAGTTCGAAACTTGTTAATGCCTGGAAGACCTAAATATGGATATTCAAAGAATTTTCTGTCATCTGTTTTTGAATAGTCTATAAAAAATACTGGATGGGTACACGCCGAATCCTGGTATAATCTGAGAACGTCTAAGCTTCCCAATGGTTTCTGAAGTATTTCAGACAGCAAATTTGCGGAATTAATGGTATGAGGTGACCATTTATATCATATAAAATGCCATGTTACGTCACAATCTTTATGTCTGAAACCATAATCATTGGCGCTAAAGCTATAAATCATCGTACCTCCGTATAGATTTGTCACATCGAGAGTTAACCATGCTTGAGTTTGTAACAGCAACAGTTTCGTAAGTCATTTTCGTTGTGAAACGAATATAAACATTTGAAATCTATGTAGCAACAGTTTTAATTCGTAGTATTACAACTGTGCTTTATGTAGCCATCACTTCTCCGCAGGAGTTCGTTACATCTACCTTATAATATTCAGTATATTGTGCTTTCTTAATATAATTGACCAGAAAAAGGAACCTTCTTCAAAAGAAAAATATTTATTACCGCCATTCAAATTAATCGAACGGAAAACCTACAAGCATCGTATTTCGCGATCCGAAATCAATGATATCTTGTTTACAAAAACAACAAACAAGGAGAAAAAAACCCTGAACGGGGATCTCGCTCCGTACGCGTTTCCTTTTTGGGCGGCATCGTCGTATCCCATCTCGGCGCGTGTTCGAAATTAGGTTTATTTTCGTTACGCTTCGCGATTCGCTCGAAATACATTTTTGTACGTGGGCGAGACGAACGTAAAATCGGAGGTAAATTAATAGTAAACGCATGTAAATGAATGATAATAAAATTCAACTGTATTTCCACTGTTTAACTTTGAAATTAATTTCTTGGTAAAGTTCTCGACCTTAAAGTTAATTTCAATATTTACATGCCCCTTGTAGCGATTTATAGAGCGCGCCATTGCCTCGCGACGCGTGAAAAGTATGCGTTTTGATAAATACCCCGGTGATTGTACGTTTGCCTTGTCTCCGACCACCTATCTTGAGATCGTCGCGAGCGTTGGATAACGAAATATAATTGAAAGTGGAAACTTTTACAACCCCTAACGGGAATTGCTTTACAGCCGCATTCAAATGCTTTGATTAACTTTAAAGCTGGAAAAGAATTAACCCCGAATTGCGGTTGGGTAATTATCTTTACGCCACGGTGCTTTCTTTTTACTGTTAGTGGATCCGATAAACTGCCTGGTTAAACAGTATAACTAGAGCATGGAAACATGGTAATTTCCTCTCGGTGCATCTTTTTAATTACTTAAAGCTTCGGCGAGGATTCTAGTGCCGCTTAAAACATAGAGAACACCATTTCATTACGTTTCAGGTTGCGATCATTTAAAAGTTTAGATTTTTGTATCTGGTTTTTGGACAATTTCAAAAAAATTGACCATTTAGAACAGAATCCGATTTCCTGAGTGCGCCATTAATGACAAGTAAAACAATAACAAAAACATAATTTGTTTTTCAAAAGATATGTCGATGTAACTAACTCGTACGGAGATATTGTAGCACGGTTAAGTATTGGTTCATAACAGCGGTAGTGACGTCACTAACAAAATGAACACATATTTACAATTAAAATTGATTGCGTATAATACATCAGCAATTTACTTATATTATATTATATTATATATTTTTTTTGTGTAGGTGGGGAAATGCTCCTTATGCACATTCTGGAAGGAAGTTCCAGAGTAGTGTGAGGCTCTCCCTTAGAGTATACTCACTAAAACCCCACCTAAGGCTTCGGCTACTAAGGCCATTTTAGCCTATCACCCTTTTCATTGTGATCGCAGGTCCTTCCACTTCAACAATCAAAGTTGGTTGAAGATTCCAGCGACTCGCATAAAAGTTAACACACTCTTGCAGTGATCATGGCTACTAAAATTGTTTTCCCATATTTCATCAACTTTCAACGCATCACGCAGGTTTGTGTATTTTACACAAACACAAAGTACGTGTTCCGGTGAATTATATTATATTATATTATATTATATTATATTATATTATATTATATTATATTATATTATATTATATTATATTATATTATATTATATTATATTATATTATATTATATTATATTATATTATATTATATTATATTATATTATATTATATTATATTATATTATATTATATTATATTATATTATATTACATTACATTATATTATATTATATTATATTATATTATGTAGATAATACCCAACCTTCGATGCAACAAACCCGTACGGCAATTTGATGATAAACGACATCGTGTTTCAAAAATGCGGTATTCGCCATGAGGATCGTCGATGCGCCTGTGAGTATAGGTAGCTTAGACTTTAGACCGAAAGCTGGAACGTGACGATTAAATCCTGAAGCTAAAAGTCGGCTACGCGATCAAAGCCTCGGTTCTGGACGACAATATTGTAGAGTTAAAGGTTCAGACGATTAAAGATTTAAATTTTAAGCTGATATCTGAAGCCTTTACTCCAAATATCCATTCGATTGTAGGTATATTTGGAATTTTGTCTATAGGTCTTAGGTATGGGGTTTATGCTTTAAATATTCAATTGGCAGGATTTGAGTGCCGATTGATAATGTTTTCGAAGAGATGCTGCTTTGTGCAAGTTTATGACAGATTGTTGGTTTGCTTTGTAGGTCCTAAGCTTCAGGTTTTTGGTTTCAAAGGTTATATATTTGAGGTTTAACACTCGTTCTTTTATGTTCAAGGGTTTATCCCTTTATCCTAAAGATTAATCTTTCCAAATAATTTTCTCTGCTTTTAACAACACTCGGTTATCATTAACAACCCGATCGCAAAATATCATTCTTAATAATTCAGTTTCCTTCTGGTAGCTGCGATACTACGAGCTTAATTAATTCTTATTTTTTAATTTAGACTGATCCCCCTTAGCTAATTTGCAATTTTCGCGCCCACAAAGGCGAATTATCCTCAAATTGGCGATATCTAAACTTTTATTGGTTAGTGGCCCTTATACTGCCAATCACAGATTAGTGATAGTACCTAAGACATAACGACCATCAGAGCCATCACAGGAGGTTGCGTAAAGGATGCAAAATACAGCTCCAGGGAAGGCCTAACCTAGATAAAAGGGAGGGTCGATAGGAGGCTACAGCTGCCAGCCTACCACCGAATTGAAAAGAAGCAAGAGTAGATAATGGAACGGCATACCAAAGATTGCTTCAGATCACCAAACACGCTTCATTCATCCAGGAGACCGATCCTAAACCCCTACATAACCCAGGCCGATTTCTTACAAATGAAGACACATATAACCCAACAATTACCAACCTAGAAGAGGACGGAAACGAAGAGAAAGAGTGGATACAACGCCAAAACTAGACCCCCCACCGTCCCCAACCAACCCGAAAATAAAAGCGTCTCAGTCTCACTAATTCGGACAAAGTTTCAGGTCCTTTGCATGCCAGGTGGCCCTAAACCTACCATTTACATCTTGCAGTTCGAAAATTCACGGGGGAACTTTCTGAAATATGACAAAGGGTCCCATATACTTTGGTGCTAACTTAGCCGAGAACTGTTTTGTTCCATCCAAGTAAGGAAAATCACCCACATTATAAGTAAAAAGCTCACGCAACGCCTTAGCCCTAATATCCACCGATCGTTTCTGCTTCTGTTCTTCTTTCTGTTTATGTTTCGGATCCGATATCGGTTTTGGTATCGGTATCAGTTTCGGTTTTCTGTTTCTGCTTCCGCTTCTGTTTCTGTTTTTGTGCCTGTTCCGGTGCCTGTTCTTGTTTCGGTTCCCGTTTCCTTTCCAAATTCCGCTTCCGCGCCCTGGTACATTTCCGCTTCCGCTCTAACGAGCGCTTCCGGTCTTTTGCTTCTGCTTCTGTTTCTGTTCATGTTCCTGTTCATGTTCCTCTTCATGTTCATGTTCATGACCCTGTTTATGTCTCTCTCCATGTTCATGTTCCTGTTCATGTTCCTGTCCATGTTCCTGTTCATGTTCCTGTTCATGTTCCTGTTCATGTTCCTGTTCATGTTCATGTTCATGTTCCTGTTCCTGTTCCTGTTCCTGTTCCTGTTCCTGTTCCTGTTCCTGTTCCTGTTCCTGTTCCTGTTCCTGTTCCTGTTCCTGTTCCTGTTCCTGTTCATGTTCCTGTTCCTGTTCCTGTTCCTGTTCATGTTCCTGTTCATGATCTTGTTCATGATCCTGTTCATGTTCCTGCTCATGATCCTGTTCATGTTCCTGTTTATGTTCCGATTCCGGTTCTGGTTCGTGTTCCTGGTATTGTTCTTGTTCCTGTTCATTTTCCCGTTCGCGTTGCTGTTCATGTTCCTGTTCAAGTTCCTGTTCAAGTTCCTGCTCAGGTTCCTGTTCAGGTTCCTGTTCATGTTCCTGGCCCGGTTACTGTTCCTGTTCTGTCCCTGTTCCGGTCTCTGTTGCTGTTTCCATTCCTGTTTCTGTTCCTGGTTCTGTTCCTGGTCCGGGTCCTGTCCCTGCCCCTGTTCCTGTTCCGGTTCCTTTTTTGGTCCTATTCCTTTTCTGTTTCTGTTTCCGTTTGTTTCCGTTTGTTTGTGTTTCTGTTTCCGTTTCCGCTTCCACTTCCGCTTCTGGTTTTGTGTCTGTTCTTGTTCATGTTCTGTTACTGTTACTGTTCCTGTTCCTGCCCCCGTTCCTGTTGCTGTTGCGGTTACCGATCCTGTTCTTGGTCCTGTTCAGGTTCCTGGTCCTGTTCCTGTCCCTGTTCCTGTTCCAGTTCCCTTTTTTGTTCTTGTTCCCTTTTCTGTTTCCTTTTTGTTGCTGTTTCTGTTTCTATTTCAGATTATGTTTCAGTTTCTGTTTCCGTTTCCGTTTCCACTTCCACTTCCGCTTCTGTTTTGGTTTCCGCTCCTGTTCATGTTCCTGTTCCCATTTCTGTTGCGGTTACCGATCCTGTTCTTGGTCTTGTTCCTGGTCCTGGTTCTGTTCCTGTCTCTGTTCTTTTTTCTGTTCCTATTCCCTTTTCTGTTTCTGTTTCCGTTTCAATGTACGTTTGTTTTTGTTACTGTTTCTGTTTCTGTTTGTGTTTTGTTTCCGCTTCCTCTTCCACTTCCGCTTCTGTTTTGTTCCTGAACCTGTTCCTGCTACTGCTACTGTTCCCGTTCCTGTTCCCGTTCCTGTTCCTGTTCAAGTTCCTCTTCATGTTCCTGTTCCTGTTCATGTTCCTGTTCATGTTCATGTTCCTGTTCATGTGCCTGTTCCTTTTCCTGTTCATGTTCCTGTTCATGTTCCTGTTCATGTTCCTGTTCATGTTCCTGTTTATGTTCCTGTTCATGTTCCTGTTCATGTTCCTGTTCCTGTTCCTGTTCCTGTTTGTGTTCCTGTTCATGTTCCTGTTCATGTTCCTGTTCATGTTCCTGTTCATGTTCCTGTTCATGTTCCTGTTCATGTTCCTGTCTCTGTTCCTATTCCTGTTCCTTTTGCTGTTCCTATTCCCTTTTCTGTTTTTGTTTCTGTTTCCAGGTTCGTTTCCGTTTATTTCTATTTCTGTTTCCGTTTCTGCTTCCTCTTCCGGTTTTGTGTCTGTTCTTGTTCCTGTGCTGTTACTGTTCCTGTTCCCGTTCCTGTTCTTGTTGCGGTTACCTATCCTGTTCTTGGTCCTGTTCCTGGTCCTGTTCCTGTCCCTGATCCTTTTCCTGTCCTTTTTTTCTGTTCCTATTCCCTTTTCTGTTTCTGTTTTTGTTTCCGTTTTCAGGTCCGTTTCCGTCTCCGTTTGTTTCTGTTTCTGTTTCCGTTTCTGTTTCTGCTTCTGTTTACGTTTACGTTTACGTTTCCACTTCCGCTTCTGGTTTTGTGTCTGTTCTTGTTCCTGTTCTGTTACTGTTCCTGTTCCTGTTCCTGTTGCGGTTACCGATCCTGTTCTTGGTCATGTTCCTGGTCCTGGTCCTGTTCCTGTTCCTGTCCCTGTTCCTTTTCCTTTTTCTGTTCCTGTTCCTTTTTCTGTTCCTATTCCCTCTTCTGTTTCTGTTTCCTTTTATTTTGTTTTAGATTCTGTTTCAGTTTCCGCTTCTACTACAACTTCCGCTTCCACTTCCGCTTCTGTTTTTGTTCCTGCTCCTGTTCAAGTTCCTGTTCTCGTTCTTACTGCGGTTACCGATCCTGTTCTTGGTCTTGTTACTGGTCCTGTTTCTGTTCCTTTTTCTGTTCCTATTCCCTTTCCTGTTTCTGTTTCCGTTTGTGTTTCTGTTTCTGTTTCCGTTTCCGGTTTCGTTCCCGCATTGTCTATTTTAGGTTTCATGTTTGAAATTTTTGGTTTTTGACTTGAATCCTAAGGAATAAGGGTACAATCTACGTTCAGGTTTAAGGCGCTAAACTCTTGTCCTGTAACTGTACACTTTGCCTTTATGTCACGCTTGACCTTTCACTTTTTCTTGCTTCAGGCTTCGGAACACAAGATTCAAGGTGTGCCAAGTTTTGGGATTTATGAAGCAGCACAATTTCCAATCCGATGTAACAAACCTATACGAGGATTCTATGACTCACTCATTGAATGAGTTAAAAAGGTGAATAACTCCTCAAACAAAAAGCAACCTGAAAATAAAACAAGAGCTCCCCTTAATGTTGAAATCTCTTGATCCAATCAAATCGGGAAATGTCACGTTTTACCTTGTTAGGTATAATTACCTACATAGCATTGAAATAGTGTGGGTGTTATCAAATAATTTTCTTTACTTATGTAACGGATGAAATCTAATCTTCACACGTAGCACATAATTCCTATTATTACAGCGCTTTATAATTAGTAGAACAAATATAATTAATTGAGTTAAACAGTTACGTCACCAAGTATCAATTGAAAATGTTATCACCACCCACATCAGGGTTGGTACGGTATTGTGTGATTCGGTTACATATCGACATTATATTATAAATTAAAAGGTGAGTAATTTGGTAGAACGTACAGGTTGGTAGCGTCGAAATATAATGTAGTGTGGATTTTCAAAATTTACTTCCCTCGAATTTAAACCAATTTCTTGAACGTGAAGGTTTAGTTCGCGAAACGAAGTTTGTAAGAATGAGCTGCTATTATAGGACTTTTCTTCTTTTATAAGACAACATAATAAAGTTATCCACCTTTCCTTTTCCCTACTCCACAGGTAATTCAAATCTAAATTGAAATCTGGAGTATATCAGGGCAACGAAACATATTTGCAACAAGATATACGATACCGAATGAAATTATAATGCAATGCTTCACGCGCGTCTCGTAAATAATCGTTAACTTGTTAATAACAGCCAATATATTCCATTACCTAGGACTTAAATCACCTCGCTCCGGCTTGTTCGCCCCGGGATTTAAAGCTGGAGCACTCACGTTCAGCGTTAATTTACCCTTCCATCGTCTAGTCTGGTCTGATTGGTCGCATCAAATCATCATTATTTTTAGCCGCGATGACGTTTGCGGTTCCATAATTTATTGTTCGGGCGCCGCGCTTCATGCTCTGGAACATTTTCAGGACACGTTTTAGATGCAGCGTATAAATTATACACGGGCGACTTTGCGCAGGTTGAAAATTTAAATCAGATACCTTTCGGTACACGATTTTAAGATGAAGTAAGGAAAAGTTGCGGCAATTTGAATATTACGAATGTTTACGCCTGGCAAAATTTAAATTCATGGTTTGCACATTTATACACATCCCATCGTTACGTTTGGCATCGAGTACTGAGGTTTTCACTAAAGGAAGTAATTTTAGCGGTTTTCCCATACAGTAAGCACGAAATGCGTGAGAAACGTGAATAAAAGAGATAACAACATTCTTTGCTACGAACACTTCACACATCTAATAGACCATTGTCGCAACAAAGGGTAATATAGTGGTGCTTATCACATCAGCTGTAAATAATCACGGTAGTCTTAATTATGGCACTTAATTTACCTGTTTCAGTTGAAAGTATTGAAGACTGAAAATTGTGATCTAAAAGCAATAATCTGCAAAAAAATCGTGAAACAGTAAACTGGCGACTGAAAGGGTATTTGAAAATTGTGATGTGGAAAATAGGACAACCGCAAGCAGGAAGCCGAAAACTGAACACTGACCTGAAGGCAAGCAACGGAAAACCTATAACTGAAAACGGAGAAACTTACACGAGAGCTTTAATGTGAAAACCGGAAATTTGTTACTGAAGGAAATGGGTCAGTTTTTTTTTATAGATTATTAAAAATACTCATATGGGTTTTGTAACAGGTCATTTATTGAGTAATGTTCAAAATTTTTAATATAAGCTCTGGCGTTCTGAATTAAATCCACATCTCACTTTTAACACGTAAAATTTCGGCAAAAATTGGTTTAATACCGTGTGACTTGTCTCGCAGGCTTGTGTGCGTTTATCTCGCGGAAGTAACGGAGTAAGGATTACAATTAGCACAACTGGTCTGTTTTTTCTTACAAGTCTCAATCAATTGTCCGTTTTCTCAAACGCTTGCACATCGCAGACTCCGATAAGTTTGTACAGTCTAAATATTTAGGTGGTGGCTTCGTACAGATTTGTGACATCTACATACTTTATGAATAGAATTTTAGGGAAAACTAAATTCACTTTTCAAGTAAATGTAGCCCATCTCGTCTTATCGGTTTTTAAGAAACTAAATATTGAAATTTGGAGACGAGATTTAAAATTGGTAATTGAAAGTTTAAAAGTAACAATATCAAATTATACTAGGACAACAGAATTGATACTAGACACTTCATAAAAACCGAAATAGTCAAAACTAGAAACCCAAAGAAGTGAGAAAGAAAGCTGAAAACTTAAGACTGGAGGGCTCACACCGCAATGTAAAAATTTGCAGCACTGAAAACGCGATGTTCAACTCGAAATAGAAGTTTGAATAGAATCTGGAGCGGGCAACTCCAAATCAAGCAACAAGATACCTGAGACAATGAAAACTGATACTAGAACATGAAACTTAACTGAGAATTGAAAAATTTAGATCTAAGTGAAAACTGTAAACAAAAAAAAGAAAATTGCAAGCTGCGGTTTAGGAAAAGTAGGCGCTAGGAACCGCGTCATAGAAAGTAGAAATGAAAATCATCAAAACTAAACTGAAATCTGGAAGCCGAAAACTAGCAACGGAAAGGGTTTTATCACCTCATTTGCTCGAGTACCTCAAACCCTTCTAACAGACCACTGTCACTACCAAAAGTAGTATAGTGGTGTTTCTCACATCTAGCATATCGGTATCGAGAATCTCAAGAAAATCAAGAATCTCAAAAATCAAAGAATCTCAAGAACCTCAAGAATCTCAAGATTCTCAAGATTCTCAAGAATCTCAAGAATCTCAAGAATCTCAAGAATCTCAAGAATCTCAAGAATCGCAAGGATCGCAATGATCATAAGAATCTCAAGTGTCTACAGAATCACAGGAATCTCAGGAATCTCAGGAATCTCAGGAATCTCAGGAATCTCAGGAATCTCAGGAATCTCAGGAATCTCAGGAATCTCAGGAATCTCAGGAATCCCAGGAATCTCAGGAATCTCAGGAATCTCAGGAATCTCAGGAATCTCAGGAATCTCAGGAATCTCAGGAATCTCAGGAATCTCAGGAATCTCAGGAATCTCAGGAATCACAGGAATCTCAAGAGTCTGAAGTGTCTCAAGAGTGTCCAGAATCTCAAGTATCTTAGGAATCTCAAAAATCTGTAGAAACTCAAGAATCTCAAGGATCTCAAGAATCTCGCAATTTTCAAGAGCTTTAGGACTCTCTAGAGACTAGAATGTCCAGAATTTAGAGGTTTTCGAGTTTCTCAGGAATCGCAAGAATTTAAAAAGAACTTATAACTTCAAGATATTCAAGCATCTCAAGTATTTCACGAATCTCAAAGAGCTCAAGAATGTATTATTAAACCTCGAGAATCTCAAGTGTATCGAAGACCTCGACAGTTTCGAGAAACTCTACCCTTTTGAGAATATCAAGGATCTCAAGAAGTTCAATATTCTTAGGGTTTTCGGCTATCTCGAGTATCTCAAAAACCTCAAGAATTCCAAGAATCTCAAGAATCTCAAGAATCTCAAGCATCTCAAGAACCTCAAGAATCGCAAGGATCACTAGAATCTCAAGAATCTCAAGAATCGCAAGAATCGCAAGAATCTCAAGAATCTCAAGAATCTCAAGAATCTCAAAAATCTCAAGAATCTCAAGAATCTCAAAAATCTCAAGTGTCTAAAGAATCTCAGGGATCTCAGGAATCTCAAGAATCTGCAAAAACAAGAATCTCAAGGATCTCAAGAATCCTGTTCAAAATTGTTAAGGTTCAGCTCTCGAGGCTCCTACTTTCATATCTTAGAGACCATGTGGTTTAGGATATATGTATTTTAAGGTTTTTAAAGATCCTAAAGGCCTTACTGGTTTTGAGTATCTTAAGGAGCTTGAGGTTCCTAAGGATCTTAAGCATCTTGAAAATAGTAAGAATCCTGCTTGACCTATTTTATCCTTCGATACCTAAAGCATCATAAGTACCCCAGGAATATCTGGAAAGTTTCAAAGATCTTAACGACCTCAAAAATCTCAAGAATATCAAGAATGTCAGGAATTTCAGGAATCTCAAGAATCTCAAGAATCAATATAACCAGAGACCTGAGACAATGAAAACTGATACTACAACACGAAACTAAACTGGGAATTGATCTCAGTGTAAACTGTAAACAGAAAAATTGCAAACTGCGGTTTAGAAAAAGTGTGTGCTAGGAACAGAGTCATAGAAAGTAGAAATTGAAAATCAGCAAAACTGAAAAGTGAAAGGCGAAAAGTAGCCACGGAAAGGGTTTTTCACCTCATTTGCTCGAATACCTCAAACCCTTCTAACAGACCACTGTCACTGCTTAGGGTAGTATAGTGATGCTTCTCACAGCACGCGTGCATGTAAATATGATCACTGGAACGCTGAAACTGTTGATGTAACACGATTCTGAGACTGAACTCGAACCTGAAAGTGGAAGCTCGATGACCGGGTCCTGAATTCGGAGAACCCACATCTAACAACAAGGAATTCCGAATCAGAAACTGTAGAAAGAAAAAAATAAAGACTAGTATCGCGAATCTGTAAGCTAGAATGGGTATCTGGCGAAATCAGTACTTCCCTAATCGAGAAACCGAGAATCGTTCACTGAACTGGGGACCAGAAACCGTGGTCAAGGATAATGAAACGAGTAAATTGGTTACTGGAAACAGTGACCTGAGATTCGTATCTGAAAATTAGGAATAGGAACTGGTACTGAAGCCTAAGAAAGAGTCTTGAA